TAATAATAATAATAATAATAATAATAATAAGTCTAATTTGTGCTAACTGGACTAAATTGTTTTTTCCCTCTGTATTACAAAGTATTTGCTTCGTAGTGCATGCACTGATCTGAAGCAAAAAAAAACAGTTTGTACTAATTTTATATATTTACATATATTTAAGTTGTAACAGACAAAAATTCAAGTTGATCAATTCATGCTGGTTACATGTTTTGATGAAAGTAAAGTAAAAAAAGAGATTGATACTAAGTGATATCTATGATGCACTGAGAATTTTCAGGACTGTCAGAAGACCTCAGCTCCTTTTCAGACATAATCTGCAAGTTATCAACATAAAACAAAGCAGCCACTGTACCATTTTAGTAATACACATAAACTTAAGGTTAAAACATAGTTGGCATGTGCTCAGTTGTATGCTTGCATGCCTCAATTCGGCATTTATTGAATCAGATGAGAGCTAACAATTCTGTTTGGTAAATTGACCCCATTTTACAAACATGCATCAGCTTGACCTGGTGAAAACCTCTGTTGTGGGACCAGTCAATATCAGTTAATAAACTTTTACCTTCCCACTCGCCTTGGTACATTTATATCATTGTACGCAATAACGTATGTATTAGGTTTGGCTGGAGAGGATGTGAAATAAAATAAAAATCTCAAACTTTACTGTTTCAAAAAATATATGACCATCTGCTAATCAACGTGTAAGAAAATGAGTCAAAAAGCCAACAGTTTGAAAAGAGAACTGACTTGATATCATCAAAACACTAAGGGCGTTGCCTTTTCTGCCACAGAATTAAGCACGAGTCTGACCCAAAATGCGGACCAGGTCGGACCAAATTGATGTCCCTCTGTCTTTCTGTTCTAGAATAAACAACTGCAGTTGTTTTTGTTTAACACCGTAGTCAGAGTATAACATTTTATTTTTATTTATTTATTTATTTTGTTAACCACGAGGCAGATAAAAAGAAGACCTGGACAACATTTGCACATTCACATACTCGATAGGACCTGACAAATAACTTCTGTTGCCCAACTTGCTAATTTAGCAATCGGCTTCTGCCGGCTTAATTAAAGGCACAGTGTGTAGGATTTGTTGTTTTCAGTGACATCTAGTGGTTGAGTGGTTGAATCATCCTCCCTGGTACTCCCCCCACCCCCACCCCCCGCTTCCAAACGCAAAGGAGTTGCTACGGTGTCTCTCAGGTGTCAAAAACCTTTGATAATTCCAACCMCGATGTCTACCAGCAGCTTCAGGGCTAGTGATGTTTCAAGTGGTAAGATTATGAGCTTTAATAAGTAAAATTATCCCAGCTACATTTATATGTTTCCTTAGTGCTACTGTAAATATTATCTAAATGTTTTATGTAAGAAAAACAAGATAATGTAGCAAAGTCACAACTTCACTGTAGACGGATAAGGCTGGCAGAAAAATGATTTATCTCCATTGTCAGATTCATCCGTCAATATTACTGATAACAGAGGAAGAGACAGAGTATTATAACTAAAACCGTTTTTGACGCCGCCACCGCAGTTTGTCCTTCATGAGCCTTCGTAGACAAGATGGCGGCTGCCTGTAGAGGCGACCCGCGACCATGGAGATATAAACAGCTTTTTATAAGGTAAAAATAATAAAACAAGGTCTTTGTCTGCAATGATTAGACATGTTTTTGTTTTTATTATTGTCATTAGTGATTATATCAATTTTGGCTAAAAGAATAGACAAAATCCTACACACTGTGCCTTTAAAAAAATATATCGGGTTTACTTCAGGCTCGTACCTCTAATTAGATTTAATAAGTTGGGTTGGATCAGGCTTGGACACAACATCTATGGACTTGGGCTGGGTTTGATTTTTAGGGCCATTCTAAACTTTATTTAGAGTTACAAAAAAATAATAACTCTAAACCCTTGTGCCTTTTTTGCACCTTAATTTCTTCCCCTGTAAGGTTATTAGATGGTAATTTCAATCCCCAGTTGTACAAAATGAAGATAAAAATAACTTTCCTCTAAGCAAGACTGGAGTCTCCCTAGAATTCTCATGTTTTTTATAGTCAGGCCAAGTCTCTCAAACCAAATATGTTGGCTCCATGTGTCTATAGTTCCTTAAGGGTAAATTAACCATGCGTGTCATATTGCCAACTAAAAGATCAGCAACATCATATCACAGTATACAACAATTCATTCCTCCATTATTCAAAAGTAATTGCATTAGAAGAAATAACCTGGTGGCAGTAATGAAAGGAAATTAGCAAGAAAGCTTAAGTGCAAGCTCTTGTCATTTTTTTCTGTTTTGATAAAACATTTATCTGTAGCTTACAGCCACAAACAGATTAATATGGTATGCATTCATGCAAACATATGGAGAATAAATGGATTATCCGCTCCATGTTCAACTTATAACATTTACATATTTGTGCTTGGGTGTCACATCTGATTCTGTCTTAACTCTGTAAACAGATTATCTGGTACACACATAAAGTAAAACACACAATAATATACAGCCTGTGGACCAATTTCTTTGGAGACACACCTCTTGCCCACATGGGGGAATCTCTAAAATATAGATCAAAAGGCTGAATTTCTGTCAGGCAAAACAAATCTTTTGATGGAAGGTTTAAAAGGCTTCCTTTGAACTGCTTGAGTTTTTTTTTTTAATTAAAGGGCAACACGCAAAACAAACAAACAAACTAAAAAAATCAAATCATAAATTCTCTGTTATGCCGAGGATTGTGACCTCCCTGAGGTGGGATGAAAAGTCAAGATAACAAGAACAACCCTTCATGTCTATTTGTCACTCTAAGAGGAAAAAAACTCTTGAATTTAAGTAATGTAGTCCACCATGTGCATTGAACATGTATGCCATTACATGTTGTGTTACATTGCACACACAAATCTGTGCACAGAGAAGTGTTTTCATGTAGTTTAATACAACAACAGCAAAAGCAGCACTAAAAAACATCTCATTGTTCGAAATGTAGTCCTACCTTGTCGGACATCTCTGGGTGCTATGGCGATTGCATCGTTTGAATGAAGTTCTGTCACACAACAGTCGTCAGGAACCACTGAACCATTGCTGAAACTGTGTGGTGTCTCTGGGAGTAATGGAATAGGCGGTGCCATAATGTTGTGATTTGGACAAATACAGCCAGTCTGGGTCATCCCACAACCGTTCCCATCAGAAACCTCCCAGTCGCCATTATGATCCGTCCGCAAGCACTCCTCAAACCACCGGCAGAGCACGCCGCAGGTGAACTGGCTGGAGTTCTCGTTGTTTATGAGCAACACCTCGACCAGTCTCTGCTCCAACAATTCCTTGGCTACCCGAGGCTCGTTGGCAGCTGGATGTCTCGTTAGACACAGCTGGACAAAGTTTTTGTCAAACTGAAGGAAGGAGTAGGGCCTGTCTGAGTTGGTGTGGCTGCCGCAGAGATCGATTACTTCCTGATCCCTGGCTGTGGCCGTTTGTAAATGAAGAGGGCAGCTTTGATTTGCCTGGTGGTGGTCAAGGGAAAGGAGCATGGGGGAGTGTGTCTGGCAGATGACAGGATGACGAGAGAAACGGAGGTACAGGGAGTACTTGGTGGGATCTGGATTTTCCAGGGACCACGAACAACCAGGCGTTCTGGTGGGAAAGAGCTCCCTTAGGGAGAAAGAGCCGTAGAGCACCCCTGCTACGAGGCTGGAGCATGGAGAAGAGATGGGTGAGGGGCCCCCATCTGCCCTGGTGCTGGGAATGCTATTGGCAGCCCCATGGGCAGCCTCAGCTAGGGCAGAGAAAGGAGCTAGAGCGAGGGCAGACAGAGCAGCCAGGGCCCCAGCCAGAGCCAGGAGGAAGGACAGCACAGACAGACACACCCCACCAGCAGTGTTCATCCTATGACATTCGTCCTGTGGAGACAAAAAGAAGAAAAATCAAAAGATGTGGTGAGATTGGATTGGGCATTGAAACATGTTTGGAAACATTTTTTAAATATCTTTAATTAAACCTGACAAAACCAACGTGACTCGGACAAAAGACAAGACTTCATTATACCATCCAAGTTAATACAGAGGAATCTTGCCTGGCAGGAAAATGTTTTTAGAACTCGTTCTGTATCGCCTCAGAGGATAACAAAACCAACTTTGTGACAGCAGTTCTCCTGAAGTTCTTCAAACACACAGACACATACAAGAACTGTCAAAAACACAAACACATCCCTGCTGGGCTGGATTAAAAGGGTTGATGACTTGGCTGTTGAGACATGCACTGTGGGGCCTGCTCTACCCTTCCCTGCTGATATGTGCACACAAACACACACCGCATCCTGCTGAGCAGCTCCCCCAAGGTTCTGGCAAACTATTACCATCACTGACACAGTCAGGGTCCGCCAACAGCCTGATTTCGACTCACACAGCACACACACACACTGACGGAAATAAAGAAAACTGCATATACAATATTTTGCTTGAAACTACTTCAGCAGTCGCCGTGTCTGCTCGATCGCATGAGACTTTCAAGTGGCTCAGCAAAAATAAATAAATAAATAAATAAATAAATAAATAAATAAATAAATAAATAAATAAATAAAATATGATTTGAGAATGTTGCGTTGGAGATGGGAAAAGTTTGCCTTTTTGCATATATAGCTTTTTCAGCACGACAGTCACGTAGATATTTATTTTTATCTAAAATATGGTTATTATTTGAAATTCTATTCAGGTATTTTCACACCAATTTGAAACATCCTAATTGTAATTAAATAAACTGATTACAAAACAAGATTAATACTTTGATTTTGAGCTTTATTTACTGGTATGATTACATTATATATTCTGACATTTTTATCTAGATTGCCTGTTCTACATAAACTGACATCCCCTGAATGCTAAAATAAAGAAGCTAAGAAGACCTCGTTGTCATTAAGGACAATTCTCCTCTACTTTTTAAGGATTATTTCAGTCAGAAAAATTTAATTTAAAGACGCCTTTTGGAAGAAAGATAAAACCACTTTTAGGAACTACCACAAAAGGCCAATTATCTATTTTTATGTGTGCTAACAGGCTGAAATAACAATTGTTTTGGGAAATCACACTTAGGGAGGTATGGTGGGCTCAGTCCGTGGAACTATTGCCTCCAAGAAAAAAATGGTTGCTAGATCGAATTACAGCCAGAAACATTTCTGGGTAGAGTTTGCATGTTCACTCTGTGCACGTATGGGCTTTCTGTGGGTACTCCAAATTCCTCCCATAGACCAAAAAAATAAAAAAAAACATGAATTTTAGGTTGATTGGTAACTCTAAATCACCCCTAGATGTGAGTGAGAGAGTGACTGGTTGTTTGTCTCTATGTGGCCCTGTGATGAACTTGTGACCTGTCCAGGGTGTGCCCCTCGCACAGTCACTGCTAGATATGGGCACTGGGAACTTGAAAGGAAAAAACAGCTGATGACGAATGAACGGAATCACCTTTTCTCTTGGATAAAATGTTGTTGTTCTGACAGGAGTAGCTTCCTCTCAGGTGGCAGGCCATTGTGGTTCAAAATTGGTGAGCATGTGCTCTGACATCCTTAAGCCAATTTTTACTTACCTTTAAAAGCCTAATCAAAAAACAATCGAAAGTGATATCTTAAGATAAATTGTTTCACTTAAAAAAAGTTAATTGTTTTCAACCTTAAGGCTTTTCTATTGAGACGTTATAATCAAACCCTTTTTCTGCATTTTTTTTTTTTTTTGCATCAGCGTCACCCATTATTTATGACTTGTTTGTAGCATAATGGTAGGCACCAAGGTTATCAAACTTGTTATCCCCGCAAAGAGACCCATTTAAGGAAGGACATCCACGGCTTTACGACAACTTCCTCAAGGTCTAGAATAATGAAATATGGCGTGCTTTTTGGGGTTTATACAATTCTGCAAAGGCTCTGCATCATTGTGTGCTGGTACATAAGGTCCAGAAATGGACATCACCACGCCAAGAGGCTGAATATTTTACAGGCACTTTTGCTTTCACTGTAGGTGGATTAAATTGGAGTTGAAAGTGCCTGAAAGGCAGATGGGTGATCTGTGAGAAAGCTGGAGCGATGAGTGAGGAGACTTTGAGAAAGAAGTGGATTAAAAGCATCACAATTATACATAAATGATAAAAAATATGTAGATGATTTGCAACACTCAGCAAGAAAATGATTCGTCTGCTTTGGGTTTAATTTTTTTATGATTCATAGCATTAATAAAACAGTTTATAATCAAAGACATTGGTATTTTAAACGTACATCCAACAAATGTGTAGAGTATATTTGTATTATTATGTTTTATACATATTTTAGGATAAAAATATTACTTCCAAACATATAATGTATCTTAACATATAACTGCAACTTACTTATTCTACTGTTTTATTTTATAGATGAAGACAAGAAGGCAAACAAAAATAACTGATATGTGAAACTGCTGCATTTACAATCAATATATATTATCTTACGCTATTTTAAGAGTCCCTTTACTGTTTGTGCAGAGATGCACAAGAATATTTTACTTTACTACTCTATATAGTATATACTATACTACTACTACTATTATACTATTAAAATATACTAGCAGTCAGTAAAGAAATGCATGTCTTCCAATACCTCGCCAGCTAAAATTTTTATCTTTCTTTTTTTTTTTACTTTTAAATCTTACATGATTTGCTATGTTTTGAAGATGACTCAAGCTCTATCACACAAGTTTGTAGCTTGATATATGTAAAAAAAAACTGAGATTTAGCCCTGTTTGTATTAGCTAAAAGTGATTAGCTTTGGCAGCTATCTTGAAGGTTGACTTGAAACATTATTCACTTGGTGCATATTCAGATATACGACGGAGTATTAGGGCCATGCAACAAGATTTTTTAAAATTACGAGTTTAAAGTCATAATATTACGAGTTTAAAGACATAATATTAGGAGAAAAAAGTCATAATATGTAGCCTTTACATGAAAAAGCATGCTTATCACTGCATTCAAATGAGGAATATCGAGCAACTTGTCAAGTTGTTCTTTAGTATTGCTATAAGTAAATAGTTAATCTTTTAGCACATTGTCATCAAATTATCAGTAGCAGGACTTGGAAACTGTGCAAACGACTATGTCAAATTGAAGCTATATTGTAATTAATGGATGCATTGATGGATTTAGTAGTCACATAGCTAATTAGGATGAAAGCATATTATACTAACAGTGACCTGAGTCATCATGGACTACTTTATAAACACAGACACACATGGCTGTACACAGCAGGTGCGGGGAAAATAAGGAGGAAATGAGGAACAGGAAATAGACACTGTTGAGGATTGTAGCAGTACTTGTAGGAGCTGGGATAAAAGGTCAGAATAAGGGTCGTATAAACATCTGGTAAGAACATTCTGTAAAAGTTGAGCTCATCAAACAGTCTACAAATATATTTAATAAGTGTGTATTGGGTGGGCTTAAATTTCCATCCCAATTCTTGGAAGTGACCACCCTTCCTGGTTACATAGAATTTCTGTTATGAAAACAGTTTGGGTATAAAAGGGTCTGGTTTCGAAATACGTCAGTTCAGTTTGGATGTTTCTGTCGGTTGCATTGATCTGGTGAACTAAATAAAATCCCTCGTTGGCTGGCCAAAAGTGACGTCTCCTCATCTTTATTTCATCTTGATAACAGAGAACAATCTGCCACTTCAACACGTCATGATTATGACATTTTTTCTCGTAATATTACAACTTTAATCTCATAAAATTATGACTTTAATCTCGTAATACAATGACTTCATTCTCGTAAAATCATAACTTTAATCTCGTGATATGATGACTTTAATCTCGTAATATTATAACTTTATACTCATAAAATTATGACTTTGATCTCGTAATAATAATTAAAAAAATCTTGTGTGGCCCTAATACTCCGTCGTACAGAAATCACTTTTTGAGAGCTTTATTAAAAAACATCTTCTGGTTTATAAGATATTTGGGAAACAAACACACATAGGGATAATCAATCATGTTATCACCCAGCTTTCAAGGCATCAAACAAAAATCAAATTACATGCATGACATTTTTTTAAGTGTCCTAGTTTCTGTGAGTTTGCAGGGAGGGTTAATGTGGCATGTTGTGAAGTATGCTGAGGACAACATGTCAAATAGCATCATTGTGTTACAGACCCAGTCCTCCATGTATGTTCTACTTTCAAACAATCACAGTGTGACAACATCGTGCAGACTGCAGCACAGCCGGTGATATGTCACTAACAATGCAGAACAAAAGCCTTAAATACAAAGTTATTCCATACGACAACATGCGTTTCTGGTTCCTGGGCATTTGTTGCACCAAGTGTCAAGGTGCATTCTATAACAGACTTTTAGACTGTAGCTACTATAGGCTGTGCCATGCGTGCACAGAAGAAAAAAAAATACACACATTTTACGGATGAAAAGAAGTCAAAAGCGTTAAGCAAATTGTTTTTGGGACAATGAACAATGAATATTCATAGAGTCACAGTCTGTGTAAGAGTAGGCCCTAAAGTGCTGTCTTCATGAGGGCATTCTGTCCCACTTCGCTTTAAAACAGCACTTCACTGTGGGCACCCATAAATATTCATCAGCGTTGATGTCTTCTTTCCCCCTTCCACCTTGACATTAATGTGATCACCAAGGATGGCACGATATGTATATCCCTCATTCTCTGTCTCATTTTGCTTTCCCTGTCTTCTTGTCTTTGTCTTCATCTCTTAAAGCTGCGCGGTGGCAACTCAGCAAGTCTTATTATTATCCCCATCTCAAAACTCATGTAAGACACAGCAGCACTGGGACACTATTAAAATAGTGGCACAGAAAGTATCATTCTGTTCAGTAAAGATATTTTGCATTTTGTATTCAGCATCAGATTTGAATGTTGT